TTCAATTACCTCACATTCATGTGACAGTTGACTTTGAATGAAGAAGAGCACAGAAGATGCAAAGCATTTGAATTTTGTGCCACAGAAGAATATTTAAAATACCATAAACTTCCAAAGAACAAATAACCCTCTCTTGGGAAAAAAAATGGCCAGAGTGCTCCTTACAGGCAAGGATGGTGACATTATGGCTGTGTACTTTGGGCATGTCTGTCAGGAAAGAGCATCCCTTGGAGAAGGACACTATGCTTGGTAATTTGGAAGGGCAGCAAAAAGGGGGAAGGCCCTTAATGGGATGGATTGAGATCATGGCTCCAACAATGGGCTCAGGCACAGGACAAATTGTGAGGATGGCCAGTGTTTCATTCTGTTTGACATAAGATTTCTATGGGTAATCATCAACTCACTGGCATCTAATAACAACAGCAGCATATATCTCCTCTCTCTCACACTAGCTAATACTGCACCCTTATTTTAATGGTGTGCAGAGTGAAGGGTGATATATGCCCTGTTTTCCCGAACTTAAGACATCTCCCCAAAATAAAACCTACTTACAGTTTTGCCTCTCGCTGATATATAAGGCATTTCCCCAAAAAATAAGACCTCCCTGAATATAAGGCCCCCCAAAGTTACTGTAACTATGGACTCTGGACCGTAGCGGCGGGCGTGGCTGCACAGCTGACTGTTGGCCGCAGCACAGCCTGAGCAGACAGGAAGTGTGAGGTCTCTTTTAATAAAACTATAACAGTAAATGTGTACCGTATTCTTCTTCATGGAAAAATAAGACATCCCCTGAAAATAAGACCTAGCGCATCTTTGGGAGCAACAATTAATATGACACTGTCTTATTTTTGGGGAAACAGGGTAGCATATGTTTGATATCTCAAACTACACAGTTGATAGTTGAAAACTGGTTCTATTTTTGGAATCAGGAATCAAATATACACAGAAACAAGACTAACATTGAGGCACAGAATGTGTGTAGGCTCGTGTTATTATTAGAATAGCCAAATATACCACGAAGGTTACTTCCCAAGAAGCTGATAATGCTGTCTCTGAAGTGGACCAGGAAAAAATATATATACATACACATTTATATTAGATGTACTTATGTATTATTCTCTCACATCTAATCATAACTCACAGTCAAGGATGAGTTAGTACATATGATGTGGCTGGCCCTGCCCAATTCTTGCTCAAATGAAATTACCACTGAAGATATAGGTGATATAGCAAAGTGTGGACAAGAATTCTAATGGTGCCCATAAATCAGAAAGAACAGCATCTGGGATCTCAAAGACTTTTCTTAATGCAAGCAGCCCTCAAGTCCACTTGGAAGGAGCACAGGACTCTGTACTAAATATTGTTTGTAATTAAATGCAGGATCATAAAAGGGAGCTATTAAAGCCGAAATTCTGAGCACTTTGTTTGCAGAAGGTTATTGCTGACAGTGAAATCCCATATTTCATTTGCAGAATCTGCACGTGGATTAAGGCTTCATTGAGTCTGCTCTGTGAATACCTTGGACCTCAGTGTGTGTTAGAAGCCCTAAGGGACTTAATTGGAGGTGTTCTTGATAAAAAGCACCAGGCTGAGGAAAACATAGTCTTAAGGTTTAACCTACTACCTCAGGAAAGTCTCTGGACCAATAGTAAGGTCATCATGGCCCTGATATCATGCTGGGAATCACACTAGCTACTCTGCTATATGTCTTCTACCAACCATGTTCATGTGACAATTTTCTTTGACCTCCTATGTCCTTTTTAACCCTATGTATTTCAGCAACACTATAAACAGTATTATCACTTCATGTTGATGGAATCTTTTCTGTGGATAATAAGTCTCTGTAGTTGTCCGGTCTTTGGCCCATTTATGATTTAATAAACATTCTCTTTAAATTTAAATAAGAAACTGAGAGCATCTGAGACTGTAGTCCTCGGTCACTGTTCAGATCTGTAACTGAACTCCCCTGGGTTAGAAGAACCAACCATTCAAGAGCCAAAGGGCAGCTTTTATCCAATGGCAAATTCCAGAAGACTAAGGACACAGGAGGATGGAAACACGAACACGGGGAGGAAGTGAGAGGAGTGATGGCAAATTGTGGAGAATGCAATATATATGTTGGGGCAAAATATGCATGATTTTTAAAATGTAAAACTGATCATCTGCTTTGTTAACATTTACCTAATTCACAATAAAAAGTATTTTAAAAAAACTTCTGGAGAAAAGATGGCTCTTAAAATCCATCTTTATATCACCACTTTACATACATTGCAAAACCACCATGTTTTTATATTGTCTAATGATGGAGACAATCACTAATACTGGCAAAAAGTATCCATGTATAGTCATACATGGTTAAATAAGCATTTTATTAATACTAGGATCTGCATGAAGATTGAAGTATTTAATGAATATCATCAGACACTGGTTTCTTTAGATGAAAATCCATTGTATTTTGTCTATCACAAAAATGCTTATGTGCAGAAAAGTGCTCAAGGTTTATAAGTACTTATGAGGGGGTACCCCCCAATAAACACAGAAAAAAATTACAAGCTATGTATTTAAATTTTTAACAAAATAACCTTATCATCTTCAAATTACTCCCCATTATACTTAATACATTTGTCAAATCCATGATTCCCCTGTTGAAAACATTTTTCAACCTCATCTGTTTGGATGGCGGACAACACCTCTCATTTTTTTTTCTTCACTTCTTCTAAGTCATCAAATTGCTGTCGTTTCATGTCCCTCTTCATTTGCTAAAAATTAAGAAGTTGCACGCGCGAGGTTAAGTGGGTCAGGTGCATGGGACAGCAGAGGCATGCTGTTTTTTACCAAAACCTGGTGCCCTGAGATAGTTGTGTGAGCAGGTGCATTGTCGTGGTGGCAAATTAAGTCACCCATCTTCCACAAATCAGGCTTTTTTTGGTTTGTCACACACAGCTATGCTACCTTTTTAGATCTCTAAATAAAAAGCTTGATTAACAGACTGACCTGGTTGAACGAACTTCAAATGCACTATGAGTCAACATTTTGATCCGTTTGGGAAGTTGATGGACGTCCAGAACAAGGTTTGTCATCAATCAACATTTCAGATTTTTTGAAATGAGAAAACCAGTCGTACACTTGAGGTTTTCCTATCGCGTTGCTGTCCTTGTCAGCTGTCTTCAACATCACGATAGTTTCTGTGGCATTTTTTAGGAACAGGAACCGCAATTTCACAGTTGCACACTCTTCTCTTAAATTGGCCACCACCAAAAAAGAGGATCAAGTTAAACGGCTTTAATGAAAAGATTCACTGTGACCAGTGAGAACCTGCCCAGGTGACACCACACAGTGCATTAATTCAGAGGAAGATGCTGGATGCTTGCCTTGTGGGGGGAAAAACACGTACTAGGAAAGCTCCATCCAGCCGAGCTTTTTCCCTTTTATTATTTTTTTCAGGGCCGGTGTAACCCCCTCTTATAGTAGACATTGAAGTACTGTTCAGGTTTGTTCTAGATTGGACAGTCACTCACCCTGTATTGTCAATATTAAATGAATGATGGCTCCTTTATCAAGCAATAAATAATATTATTTCTCCATTTTGTGCATACTTTCTTCCTTGGGATAGTTCAAATTTTATATATTAACTTGCCATCATTTAATAGCCTCTCTAAATTAAAATTGTGATGTAACCTTTATTATTTGATCTCCCTTTCTTCTCTGAATAGTCAACTGCAATAGAAAAAACTAGGCGAAGGAAAAAAGACTAGATCATCCCAAAACACATGTTTCATAAGCATCTACCTACATGATTATAAGGTTCGTCATAGAGGGAAGCAAATAGGTGCTTGTAGGAGATTAGATTCTATCATTTATACAACTTCAAACATTTCCTTGCTCCTAAGTTCACAATCAAGCATTAGGCTTACTTTTGAAAGAATAACTATAATGCACTTGTAACCATAATGCAGATGGTCATTGTTAATGGTTAAATCTGTTACATTTTAAATTACTTTCTCAGTGCTGTTTTGTGTTGATGGTTTTTTTAATTGTTTAACTCTGTGAATAACTATTATCTTTCAGCCACTTCCAGTTAGGGAGACATGTTACTGCCATCAGTACTTGCGCTGCAGTCAATTCAGGGCACGGCAATTCCATAGGACTGCCCTACAGGGTCCTCAAGGCTGCAACTTAGGGGAAGCAGATTGCCAGTTCTTCCCCCTAACCATTTCTGGGTGGATTGTGACCCAACGTTTTGGCTAGTAGATGAGCCCATAACAGCACCATCCAGAGACTCCTGGTGTAAATTAGAAGAGTTGAAACATTTTTGCAAATTATGTTGGATTTTAACAATTCTGTTGCTTGTTTAAAAGGCACAATATTAGTTGTTTTTATATCCTAAATTGATTTGTTCTGTAGTAGGTGTGAGCACATTTGTTTTCTGTGAGACCATAAGTATGGTGTGTGTGTGTGTGTGTGTGTGTGTGTTTTTAATTCGTGTTAATTCAAGCAGTTATTTATAAGGCTCCCAGAGCTAAAATTTTTAAGGTAGGAGAAGAGCAAGCAGGCATGAACTTAAACTTATTCTTAGATTTCAGAGTGCTAAAAGGAATTGGGTGAGCTGAAGGTACAATCATGGTGATTAATTGTTAAACCTTAAAAGGTATTTACTTAGATGAAAAAGTAATAATAATGCTGGTATCCTCTAAATGACATTTTTTGGGACAAAAGCATAGAGTAAAATAAAACCCATGGATTTGGAGGTGTGACTTCCTATATTTATGATTCTTTATTTGCAATCTGAAATTCGTACGCATAGTATAACGTTTTTATGATTTTATGATCTGAGAAATAGGTTTTTAAAATCTGATTTATTTAATAAAATGATTAATCCAGATTTTAGCATGCACAATATTTAATAATATCTGGCTGTTTATATTTCCTTTATGAATATATTTAACTTGATCACTAAATTCAACCAGGCAAGTCAGGATTTTTGATAAAAGACTCTGCCCTTAGAAAATGTCTTCTGGAGTGCTTTCTTCATGTCTGTGTTCCGTAGGCTGTAGACGAAAGGGTTCAGCATTGGCGTCACCACAGAGTACATGACGGCGGAGAGAGTATCTCTAAGAGGAGTGTGAGAAGAGGAAGGACTGAAGTACACAGCACTGGCTGTGCCGTAGAACAGCACCACCACTGACAGGTGGCAGCCACAAGTGGAAAAGGCTCTCTGCTTTCCTTGAGTTGAAGGTATCTTCAGGATTGTGGAGAAGATAAACCCATAAGATATGAGTATGCAGATTAGGGGTGTTAGAGCCAATAGACCTCCCACTGTAAAAATGAGCATTATGTTGAAGGAGACATCAGAGCAAGAGAGCTGCAGCAGTGGGTTCAGATCACAAAAAAAATGATGAATGATGTTGGAGGCACAAAAGGACAGACGTGCCATTAAGGAAGTGTGTAGGAGGGCATGAACAAAGGTAACCACCCAGGATCCAGCAACCAACTGAACACAAACGCGAGGATTCATTAAGGTTGTATAATGCAAAGGGTGGCATATTGCCACATACCTATCATATGCCATCACACAAAGAAGAAGACTGTCCATATTCACAAAAGAAATGAAGAAAAAAAGCTGAGTGAGACAGCATGAAAAAGATATAGTCTTTGAACTTGACAATGTGTTTACTACCATCTGGGGGACTGTAGTGGAAGTAAAACAAATGTCAACAAAGGCCAAGTTGCTAAGAAAGAAATACATGGGGGAATGGAGACAAGAGTCACACACAATGCCCAAGATGATGAGCATGTTCCCAGACACGGTGACTACGTACATACAGAGCAACAGTGCAGACAGCTGGTGGCGCTGCTCCACAGAGAGGAAAGTCCCTGCAGGACAAATTCATGGATGACGGTTAGATTTCCCATCTCTGCCTCTCCAATGACTCTAGAAGAACAAAGTATTACATTGTAGAAATCATCTCATACTCCATGCTGTGTGTGTGTGTGTGTGTGTGTGTGTGTGTGTGTGTGTGTGTGTATAATCAAGCTTTACTCAGTCCCTGCTTGCTTGAACACGTCCCAAGGGCATCTTGTGTTGAGAGTCTGTTGTTGTATGCTATTAATTCTAATTTCACAGTATTATGATGAGTAGAACTGTCCCATAGAGTTTTCTAGAGGGTAATCTTTACAAGAACAGACCACCAGGTTTTTCCTGCTATAGGACTGCTAAATGGATTCAGTACACTGACCTTTTTTAGCACTTAAGTACTTAATAATTAGTCCCGAAGGGCCTCTAGTACACATAGACTGATTGCAACTCATCCAGATATGTTGTTCAGACAATTTTCATTTTGTGTTAAATATAATGATTGCTTTCTTCAAATCAAAATCTATCGTCTCTGAATAACTATTATGTTTAATTATCAACTACAGTGTGTTGTCTGTAGGAATAGTACAATTAGTGTTTGATTTTCTTAATTCAATTTATCTATGTTAGCAATTGTGTTTTTACTCTGACCCACTAGACATGTTTACTAGAATGATTTTATTTCTAGTCAATAATCTACACCCTTCCTGAGAGTTGATTGTGAAAGTTGAATGAACTTTTCCTCCTGTAAGAATATATTTTATCCACAGATGTTCACAATTATCTTCCTCTTGAAACAGAATATGTATCATTTGGTTATTTCATGACCAGTTAATGTACTATCTGGATATCCTAGGAAGTCCTCTGGAATCCAAGGGCAGGGGATTTGCTTTTCGGGGTCTGTCTTCATAGCAGCTTACAAGCGCTGCTTTCTCTAGAGCAGAGGCAAGCAGTCTCACAGATGAAGCAGACATTTCATTGAGTTTCTTGTTTTTCTGAAAAAGGTCACCGCGACTCAGTGGGTGGAATTTTATATATTGTTTTGCGTGTTGATTCTTTACTCATTATTTTATTCACACATGCAGAGACACACACTTAATTCTTCACAAATAGGTGCAGCTTGTTAAGCTCTGAACGCCTAACTTACAGGTTGACACTTCAAATGCATCCAGAGACTTATCAATCTGAGACTGAAAGCCAAAGCGCTCCCTGGAAGAATGATGCTCTGCACACATAGGGTTGACATAAGTTGAAATTAACTCCATGACAACTAACAACACTATACTTAACTATTAACCACTCTTTTAATTAGTCATAAGATTGTCAAAATCTTATGTACTCTGAAATTTAATTTTTCTAATGAATGCCTTCCCATTTCTTTATTATTTCTAAGTCACATCATTGCAACATTATTGTTTAAGTAGATGGAAAGCCCTCAAAGTAAAGATTGGAAAACTGTGCTTTATATTCTCTGTTAATATAGTGCTTTTAAAGTAATACAGATAAAAATCCTCTGTGTGTGTGTTACTAGACCATAGATGAAAGAGTGAGGGTGGTACTAACCTTTCCCATAGCAGTTTCCTAACAATCCCTACATCCTAGAATATTATACAATTTGTATTTATGTTATACAGTTCATTTATATACACAATTGCCCATTTATATTATACAATTCAGCCCTCCTGTTTCTATCCATCAACAGCTCTGATGTCATTCACAACAACCAGGAGATTTTATTCATGCCTTACAGATTCTGCTTTGGAATTTTTTTTCCTTTCTTCACTCCCACTAACAATGCATATACACATAAAGTTTATTCAAAACCCTCAGAATTTCCTTGACCTTATTAACTTAAATGACCTCTAACTATGTGGGTTTAATTTCAGACCCATGCTCCAGGTTCATGAGTTCATTTTACTCTACATTTTTATCACATACAATTTAAGTTTTTATCATTTATGTTCTCTCATCCAAAAACTTTAATAGTAATATCTCTCTTGCTATAGATTTGTATCCATGTCATTTTAATTCTGTCATTTCCCTTTATTTTAGTTCAACCTTTTCAAGAACTTCATTCTGAAAACAACATCTCCTAGAGCCTCTAATAGTTGGAGACCAGAAGAAGATGGCTGGCCACTACCACCACTGCTCTCAGGGAGTTCACAAGCGAAGGCCTAGTACAGAGTGGAAGAGAAAAGGTAGAATAAAATCCAACATCGTAGAGAAGGAAAGACGTATTGATCTGCAATAGACTGTGGAACCCCTGCATTATGAGTCTTCGATAATCTTAAAAGCTGGAAGTGAAATTACTCTTGAAGACCACCTTTCAATCAAATGATGGACAAGGAGGACAAATAAACAATAACACACTTGCAGATCATCCTTCTCAGAACAATAGACTGGATTGTATAAAAATGACAGCATTTATGCCCAAACCAAGTTTGGAAGGCAAGAAGAAGAAGGAAAGAAGGGGTGATGAAAAACGGGAAACCAGGGAGACAATGGGAAGATTGATATTAGATTGAGGAGGTTGCAACTAAATTCACACACACACAAAAATAATGTGTAAAGTTTCCGATTAGAAAACTAATATTCTGTATATATTTTCAACAAAGCCTTAAAAAAACCTTTCAAGTTGTTTGCTTCATTTCCAGTTCAGCCCATCTAAATGTCTCCTCTCCCTCTAATCTTCCATCCTCCCTGCCCACCCCGCCCCCTCCAAAATCTTACTCCGCATCAGGCTCACATTCACTTTATTGTCTCTGTACCAAGATACCTGACAAATGCTGGAGACCTAACTATAAGGCACGTGGTTCTACCACATTCTGGATTTCAATCTCATTTTGAGCTTCACTAATCCTATGAAAATAATCTTCTGTACCCTGTATACTTGGTCTAATGTCCTTTGCATCCCAACCTTATACATGTGAGGATAAGGATTGCTCTGAGCTGAAACATCGCATTTTCCCATTTCTCTTTGAGTAAGGAACTCCCTCTCAAAGATGCAGGCAGAATCAGTTATACTACTCTTGTTCTCCAAATTATTTAGTAATATCACTTTCATAACAAGCAGTGTATGTAGCTTATTTTATTTTCTTGTTTTTTTCATTGATGGTGATATCTTAAGGCAATATTTTCAATTTATTATTTTAAATTCTTAGTATGTAACACAAAAATGGTGCATTAAAAAACTCCAACCAAATCCACTGCTATCGAGCTGATTCAGACTCATATGGATATTCTAGGACCGGGTAGAACTGACCCTTTGGATTTTTTGAGACTATAATTTTTATGAGAGTAGAAAAAGCATCTTTCTCCCTAAGAGAGGCTGGTGGTTTTAAACTGCTAACCTTGCAGTTAGCAGATCAATGCTTTACCACTATGCCAACAGGGCTTCTGTTTTTGCTAAATAGCTCTTATTGAAACAATAAATGAAAGAAAAATGCTAGAGTAATCATTTGATAGTTTTTTAATAGAATCATTTTTAATTTTTGATATTAATAATTTGATAGTTTCTCATTGACGCAATAAATCTGAGTCTCTAAAGAGTTTTTCTATAGCATATTCTTATTTATAAAAAAATATTATTTCCAAAATTTTACTTATCAACCAGGATTATTTTTATTCAGTATACTCTTAAATATTTAAATTTCATTAACAAAAATGTACTTACATGTTACTATCCAGAGAATTACACATTAATATCTAATATAAAATTTTTTAAATGTAGGAATACATACCCTTTTATTTGAGACTTTTAGAAATCTAAAATGTTCCCACCCCAACCTGCACATTCAATCCAAAGAACATGAGGATCCGAGTTTGTGCACTGGTGTTGGGAGTGAAAGAAGGGCAACATGAAATACATGTAAATGTGTTCCTCCCTATTGAGAACGCTGGTATATCACAGTGGGAGTATTTACTCCCGCACTGTTTTGTTTTGTTTTAATAATACAAAAGTATTGGTCTTAAGCAAGGACACATTTTCCTCCCTGGAGCTCAGCACCCTGGAGGACACAAAGAAGTCAATTCATCTTCTAATGATTACTCTTGTTTGTGACTGTTCCTTGCTTATTTTGAAGAGTAATCAAACAGAAGGTAAAATATTTATTCAAAAAATATGAGCGCCTCTGGGATCCTAAGGGTAATATTGTTTGTGAGTATGAATGACAAGTGCTAAAATGTGAGAGGACTTGAAACACTGATGAGGATCAGAGAATATGGCCTGCAGTATGGATCACATATCAACATAAAGGAATACTTTTTCCACAATTGAATCGATAAGTAGTAATATGATAAGTGGAGAGAATATTCAAGGTATCAAGGATTTTATTTTACTTGAATTTACAACCAAGCAACACATTGCTTTGGGCAAATCTACTACATTTGGATTTCAGCATTCTCTGTAAATTTTTGTTTTTCGTTTGTTCATGTTGGGATTTTTTGCAGATGTAATTCATTTTGGGGATGACTCTCTTGAATTTATTATATGTTTTTCTGCCTCTCAGTATATGAAACCAGCTTTGATGGACCTGTATGGACAGTAACTATAATCAGGGTTTCTGGGTGGTAAGTGGTGAGGTGGTGTAAAAGAGAGCTGATGTCAAGGAGTTCAAGAAGGAAAAGAATGTTTTGAAACTGACAGTTGTGGTATTTGTACAAAACTACTTGATGCGATTGAACTATGGATTGATATGATATCGCTATTCACTCCTAGTCAAATGGTTTGGGGGAAAAAAGAGCATTTTAAAGTGTTGAAATACATAATGGCAGCAGCAATCAAGTAATCAATATTCTTGCTATTTAAGTAGTTAGAAACCATGAAGCTATATTTTCATGAGCATCACAAAGCAGTCCATGTGTTTATTATTGTGAACTATTATTTTTAATACCATCGGTTTTATGAAAGTTTCTCTTAAGTTGAAATTGTCTGACAGATGTTATCCATCTGGGGACTTATTTATTTTAAAAGTGTGATATATATCATAATTAGTATTATTTAGATTTACCAATTTTGTATTTGAACTACAAAATACATATCAAAGTCCAGACTGAGCAT